GCCCACACAATTTCTGGAAAAAATGTAGAAGAAACATTTAAAAAAAAAACATGCTGCACCTGGGGAATGGGAAGGAAGGTCAGGAAGAGGATTTTACTTTTCGCTTGATGCACCCGAGTACAACTTCTCCTTTTTATTGTCATTGCTGCTACTCTTGTTGTCATAAAGATAATCTATCTCTACACAGAGAACTGAAAGCACCCCATAGGTCACAGACTGAGGCCTATTGGGAACCGAGGTCTCCATCACAGCCCCTCAGCGTTGCAGCCACCGTCCCCCAACCAGATATTGCTGGCAAGCTGCTCATTATGGAAGTCGACGGCAGCACTGGGAAATGGGAAACAGAATGGGATGTCCAGTTCCAAGACCAGAATCCGTGGGATGGTGGTTATATAAAGTTGTGAGTCTCTTTTGTTTTTTTTTTTCAGTTTGTAAAATGCTGGTGTGTGGTTCAACTCAGCAAGAGTTTTTGGACATTCATTTTCACAGTTGGTTTAAGGGCCAAGGTTGTTTCTCCCCAGTGAAAGAGATGAGTCCTTGTGCAAAGTTGTTACAAGGTTACTTACTCATGCAAACAGACAATGAGCCCAGTAATTGTCCTCTGCCCCTTGTCCATGCTAGCACAGATCACCACCAGTACCGAAATAGGCCGCTGACTATGGCTTTCATTTCAGAAGTGAAAGGGAGGAGTGATAAAGGTCAAACTCAGGACTGCAAGTTTTCTTGCAAGATGGTATATGCAGATGTGCACAGAGAACTCTGCATCCCTGTGTAATTTCCGTGTAAAGAATTCTGACCATAGATACATTCTTTTCCTCTAAAATCCCATATACCTAACAAGCAGCGCACAATTCCAGGGAGTTAGTGAGGTTCTTAAACTTGTCCGTTAGCCTCTCAGGATTCTGGAGACCCTATGGCTAAAGCCCTTCTTTGAGAAGACTTGCTTATACAGGTAAGGTTATTTATTAAGTCAACAAATGGGTCAGTCTCTGACCTTTGTTTGTATAAAGAACCAAAATAAAATGAGATAAGGTTTTTCACAAAGCTTTCAACCCAGCGGTTTGGTCAACATTTTCCAACTACGTTCATTACATATATATACAGCAATGCACCTATATTAGGTGAATCAACAGAAGATAGGTGTCCTTTTTACGGTTTTAATGCACTGGGTGGCAGTTTTAATGTACTGACTCCATAGGATGCCTGAGAGCAGGTACATTCATACACACACGCACGATATTTAAACAGTAAAATCTTTGTCTCTGGAGTGAGGACCTGTCAGGGTGTCCTCACTAAAATGCAGGGACCAATAACAAATGCCACATCCAGTAAACATGTTCAAAATTTTCCAATAATAATTCCCATGATTGATTGTAATTGAGGCTGCTCTCCCCAGCCTTCCTCCCAAGGCAGAGAGGTAATGCAAGGAAGAATAACATCCTTGTCACAGTGTAAACTACAAGACATCCAGATTCCAGAGCACAGTGGCAGAAATGTCTATGGCAGTCACAGACTGTCACAAAGCAAAAAAAAAAAAAAAAAGCCTTCGGTATGGGGACTTCAGGTGAAACAGAAATCGATTATAAAATGTAATCTAGGGAAATGTGAAATGAGGCTAAAACCGAACTTTGAATTAACAAGCCCAGATAAGCCTTTGTAAACCACCCGACGGGGATGAGCCAAATAAGCTACTGCGGGATTTTTCCTGTGTCAAAACAACTTCCTGGTTACCAAGTACTTTGAGAAAGAGGAAGAGGAAGGAAGAAAGAAAGAGGGAGAAAGAAAGAGAGAGGGAGAGGATGGATATGATACTGAAAAAAAAAAAACCAAAAAACAAAATTCTCTCTTTTTCTCTCTCTCTCTTTTTTTTTTTTTTTTTTTTTTTAATACCTAGGCAGGTCAGGCATTATGCCTAGATCCTTTATTTCAATTGGTAGGTAATTTTTTTTTCTGTTTTGTTTTGACAGGGATAACTTTTCAAATTAAATCCCTTTATTGAATTTTCCCTCTTGGGTAGTTTCTGAAGATGCTGCCTTTGCAAAAAAGTAAAATAAAATAAATAAAATTAGAACTGATCTATTTCACGCCACGTGAGAGCTGAGCCCGAGATGACAGTTTGGCATTATCTACCTTCATGGCCGCAGGGAGCAGAGGGATAATGGGTGAAAGGGAACGTGCACATCAGGGAAAATGACAGCCTTACTGTTTTCAGGGTATGGGGCTGTGTGCACTAGATGCCACAAGCCAGAAATGGTATTATCCCCAAAAGCTTGAGAATGAAAGCAATCTGGGATGTTACCGATTCCATCTGGGGCTTCCTGAATAAGAGGTGCAGTCATGGGAGACAGACCCTAAAGCTCTTTCATTAGTTTTTCGTTATGGGACTCTGTTACTCTAAACGTGCTCTGCTGACCGGCAGCACGGGCTTCACCTGGGAATTTATTAGGAATGCAGACTCTTGGGCCCCTATTGAATCAGAACCCACGTTTTAACGAGATCCTTTTTTGGGCCATGATATGTCCAGATTTGAGATGCAATGCCCTAAAATTTTCTGACAGCTTAGTAAGTGACTTGGTCACCCTGACAACTGGCCAGCTATGTATTCACTCACTCAGCAAATATTTACTAAGCTCCATCTACATGCTGACACTGTGGCATGTGCTGGAGACGTGATATTGACCAAAGATACACATGGCCCCTCCTCTCCTAGAATTTAGAGGCCAGTTCATTGTAATTAATCACCATGGATGGTTCAGACGTAAGCATCCATTTCTATTTTTTAACTTATTATTTTGAAATAATTTTAGACTCGCATACAAGTTGCAAAAGCTATTATAGAGAGTTGCTCTGTACCCTCTCTTGGCTTCCCCCAAAGATAACATCCAGTAAAACCACAGAATGAAAGCAAACAATATATGAAATTGGCTTAGATTGGGAGTTCAAGAAAGAATCTCCTAAGGGAGGGATGCCTTCTCTGGTTCTGATATTATTCTGTCTTTTTTTTTTTGAAGATTTTACGCGAGCTCAACATTATTTCAAAATAAAAAGTTAAAAAAAAATAGAAATGGCTGTTTACATCTGAACCATCCATGGTGATTATTTACCATGAGCTGGTCAGGGAAGGTGGAAGAGAAGATGATACTCCATGTGGAAGAACCAGCAAGTATCAGAGCCTTGTGGTGACACACAGGACCCTGCATGTTCTAGGAACTGAGAGCAAACCTGCAGGCCTGCACGCAAGGAGTGAGGAGAAGACAGAGTGAGATGAGCTAAGGAAATGGGCAGGCAACAGATCATGCTGAGCTACAGGTCGAGGTGAGAACTCTGCCCAGATGGCAGGAATTGTTCTGCCTAAGGAAAAGGTGGCTCTGGCTCTTGTGTAGCAAAAACTGGGCCTTGGAATCCAAGATAACAAAATCAGGTCTGAGGCTAGAGTGGTGGCCACCAGAGAGAGCCCACTGAAGGGGTGGGGGAAAAGTTCTGAAGTGCTGCGTTCAATCTGTGTCAGGCACAGTGCTGGGCATATTACATATGGCAGTCCCGCCTGAGCTTCCAACGGAGGAAGGTGATGGTCAGCTTGGACCCTGATCGGTCCCCCCCACTAATTTTGCCAAAGAATATATTCATTCCCTAGATGGGAAGGAAAACCTCTGGAAATGAAAAATCTCATGCCATGTGCACAGTAATGAAGTGGGTGTGGTTTCTGGGGAGTCTGGAGAGCAGGGGTGACCTCCTTCTTCTGTTCCCAAGCAGGTAAGGTACAGGGATCTTCTGCTTTTGCATTCACATGAGCTGAGGGCAAGTAGATAGGGACAAGGGAGAGCGAGGATGAAGTTTTTGAACTGTGAGGGATATTTGTCAAACAGGAAATGTCTCAAAAATTGGATTATCACCCTCTGGCTCAGTGTTGGGCAGCCTCATTGCTCTGGGGTACCTGCGGATAGTCCATTCTGTTCTCTCCTCTACACCTGAGACCTCTTTCTCCTCCCCCTGCCCCCCATCCTTCCTCATCTCACCTCTTTCTCTTCTACGCTTTTCCCCGTCTCTTTCTTTGAGCCCTTTCACCTGCAGTGCTCTCTCTTAGGCCTGGCAGTACTCCTCCATTCCTTAGCCATTCTAGAGGTCCTCTGGACCAAAGAAGGAGAAGGACACTTACAGAGCTGCTGTGTAAATATATTACCTAAACTTTCTACGCCTTAGTGTCCTCTTCTGTAAAGTCAGAAAAACAACCTATAAGTTGTGGTGGGGATTAATTGTGACAAAATATATAAAGTGATTAGCATCATTCCTGGTAGAGGGTAAGTGCTCAGCGAATGTTAGCTAGTCCAGGAACCACTATGATTAACTTATTTCATTTACAGTTGAAGAAGGAGGCATGAAAAGTCTAAGTAGTTTTTTCAAATTACTAATTTCTCACAATTAGTGAGTGAACTTTTGAGTCCTTCAGACATAGGGTTGGACCCGGGACTGCAATTTTTTCTGTATGGTGTCCCCAAATCCACCCTGTCCACACAAAGTGCAGTCCCTCCTGGCAACCGGCCTAACTGGGCAGCTAAGAACCACGGAAGCACCAGCAAACCCACTCAACCAACGTTCGCCTCCGCCTGTTTATGACAAGGGACACATAGGACAGTTCTCTCGTCCCTGTCCTTTCCAAGGGCTTTGTGACTTTCCAGACAAAGCAGTGAGACGTTACCTGGACCATATCTGACAAAATAAGGAAACCAGAAAAACAAATGAAAACAAAACAGCAGCAATAACATAATCATAACAAATAACCAGGAAAACACTTTAGAAATAAGAAATTGGGCCATTTCTCCATTACCTGGAAAGGGAAACACCTTGGCTGGATGAGAGATGCTGGGAATTGTTAAGGCAATTCTGGATCACCGAGGACGTGGATTATTACTGCTGTGTTTTCCCTAGACACAGACTCGGCTCATGGCAGACTGATAAAACTAGCTTTACTACGAACATCGTGGGGAAGATGAATTACTTACGACCATCTACAGTCCTGGCCTCGAGATGCACAAGATCTGGTTCCTTATTTGACCCCATCACAGACCTAAAGAAAAAATGGAGAAAGAAGAAAAGGAAGACCAACATTAATGACTTCACATGTGCCTCAGAGAAACTCAGCAGAGCCCAGGGACTACTAATGTTCATAGGATTTAACCACCACAATCCTTGGAATACATCTGCTGTATTTATGTACATAACCTGACAGTAAAATTTCCACTTCAAATAAAAGCTATAATGAACTTTTATTTGATGAAGGCCAGGCTTAACTCTGACAAGGACACTGTGTGTTATTAGCTCCGACCTGCAAATAAGTCTTACACATGACACGCATGTCCTCCTGTGACAATCTCAGTGACAGTATATTAGACTTTCAAGACTTATCAGGCAAATTCCAGGCAGGCTGCTTTCACTGGGTGACTTGAACAGTGACTTCCATAGCAAACTGACCTAATTAATTTTTTCATTTGAAATTAGCAGAACCATGTCCTACTATCCTATGCACTAAGAACAAATCATGTGACCCTCCCTCCTCCCCCAATGCAGGGCACAGAGGGCCTGTCCTCTGTATGGCCGCACCTGTGGGAGAGGAAAACGCAGATGCGCCTCACTTCACGGTGTATACCTGAAACCATATGTGTAAGTAAAATAAAATCAAAAGCAAAAGAAAAGTCTATTTAAAATGCCTTGGAGGTACCTATTATTTACTGTAATCTTGAAGTGAGCCTTACTAAGTACAAAATAATTATTCTGTTACCTGAGCTATAATAGATAGTCAAATGTTGAATGAAAGAAGTAAGGAAATGAACGGAGGGAGGGAGTGTATAATGGTCTGTGAGCTCTTTGAAATAAGTAAATTAATCATTGTCCTAAGGGCATTCCCAAGAACTCTTCCTATTTGAACTCATTTTCTCAGCTCAAAGAGTCTGAAGCATAGCTAGCTTAGTCTCTCTTCATCTTAAGAAGTCTCCAAAAGGCCCTATTATTGCTGTCAGTAACTTTTCTCTGATTGATACATGGCCTGAAATTCTGAGTCTATGCTTGAAACACTAAACCCCGTTTTCTTCTCTCAGGCAGCAGAAATGTCCTAATAAGGGTTTGGTAATTTTTCCCCCAAAGAGACAGGGGACGCACACCGGGACACTCCGCAACCTTGGACTCTGAATGCGGGCAGTCGGTGACATTCTGACCGTGACTTCAGTTGCTGGTCCAGGGATGGGGGCTTTCCATTTCCCACACTGAAGCCCTGACTGGATCCGTAGGTGACCTCTTCTGACGAGGCCACAGTCAGGAGATTAAGAAAGAAAACAAGCTCCCTAAAAGCCTTCAAACTAGAAATCTCAGCAGCTAACTGGTTTTTTATAAATTATAAATTATATTATTATTAAAAATTATAAATTATTTCATAAATTATGGGTAGTTACATACTGTTCACCTCCCAGTGTGCCTGTTGCCCTGTTTCTTCCTTGAAATGACTAGCATCTGGGATTCCCAGAAGGCTGGCATCCCAGGAACACAATGGTAAAACCTAGCATGCTGACCTATCTGCTTGGCTAATGGTGAGTGCAATGGGAGACAAAATAATTACTTTGCCTACAGTTGCCTCTTCCCACGTGCTCATGGCCCCAAATCAATAACAGAAGTTGTCTCTTAAGATCTTTTGTTATTTCTAAAGGCAGGAGCTGTTGTTTCAAGGGATGTTTCTGCTCTTACCAATTCACAAAAAGACACAGGAACAAAACAGAGTCCCTTGCTTCTCTAGAGTCTGCTGTGGCTAACCAAGTCCCCTTATATTGCCTAACCACCATCCCCCCCAATCTGGAGTAAAACAACTGCAACAACAAAATAAAACTTTAAAGTCAAACCACAATATTTCCCACAACTTTTATTTGCGGTTAGGCTCACCCCTTTTCCTAGCAGTCTGGGAGTACCTCTAGATCTGCCGTCACAGATCATAAAGAATTATTGCCACTTTTATTTTGTGGCACTGGTGAATTCTCAAAAGCTGAAGCCAAACAAAGCTAAATGTCTGCAAAGGTGCTGGTTTTAATGGCCCTGTCCTTGCAGAAGCACATCACTGAAGCTGACCACAAAGTATCGTTCTCTAGCGCATTTATACATTTTACTTGTAACTGTGGAGCTGGGTGGTTATCTGTGTATATTAAGACCAGTGATTTTACTTTGCTTACTAAAGATGATAATAACGTTAACAGGTGGTTGCCACGGTTTGGTGGGAGGAGAAAACAGGGAGAGGATGGTAAAGGATACAAACTTTCAGTTATAAGATGAATGAGGTCTGAGGATGTAACGTACGAGATGAGGAGCATGGTTGATAATACTGTATTGCAAACTGAAATTTGTTAAGAGAGTAGAACTTCAGCATTCTCACAAAAAAGAGAAAGAAGATAAGAAAAAAGGTAAACATGTGAGATGATGGATCTGTTAACTTGGTTGTAGGAATCTTTTCACACTGAATATGTTTCTGAAACCATAACATTGTATACTTTACATATAATTTTGTCAATTATACCTCACTAAGCCTCAAAAACATTAACAAGTAAACATAGCATAAACATAAAAGTTAATCCAAAAAATTCCCTTGATGATCTTCTTTCTAGAGTGAGATCTCGAGGAGGGCTTCAAATATCCTTATCCATTATGATAGTAGCTGACTTCTGGTATTGAGGACAAAAGGTTGGACACACTGGTTTTATGCTTCTAGAATACCCTGTATGTATGTTTCCCCGTCATGATTCATAATGGTTTGCTCGATCTCTCTGCATAAATGTCTCTTTTACTTCACTGAGCTCCCACAAGGCAGGTGCTGTTTTTTATCATGGAATTCTCTGTGCTTACCAGAGCACAGAGAAGACTGTTTCTTCAGTAAACATAGAGACAACATTTTTACACCAGTCAGTATCTACTATAATATCTGATATATTGGGTTGTTCAATTCTGGGACTCAAAAGGAATCTCTGGGACTCAAAATCAAAAATTTTGATCTGAGATCCTTTAATTATATAAAAAGGCAATAGGTCGTGGGATCTAATATATCTTTATATTGCCTGTGTGTCTATTTGAGAAAATGAATTCCCTTCTTGTACTAAAATTGCACAGGACAGGAAAGTCTTCATGCCTTAGCATGTACTGGGTGTCTGTCTGGAATTCCCGCTTACCCTTATCCTACCTCTTTAGCTCCTTCATTTTAGTATTTTTTTTCCCCATTTCATGTGTACAATAATTCAACGATCCCATACATTTTTCAGTATTCATCAAGATAAGTGTACTCTTCACCCTCTGTATCTCTTTCACTCATCCGACCACCTACCTCCTCTCTGGCAAACACCAGCTTGTTCTCTGCATTTAAGAGTGTTTTTTGTCTCTTTTTTAATTTGTTGTTTTTTTATTTGTTTCTTTCTTAAATTCTACATGAGTGAAATCATATATTCCATTCTCTGACTGACCTATTTCATTTAGCATTATACACTCTGGATCTACCCACGCTGTTGCAAATGGCAAGATTTCATTTCTTTTCTTTTTTATGGCTGAGTAAACTTCCACAGTAGATATGTACCTCAAATTTATCCATTCATCTATCAATGGTCATTTGGGTCGCTTTCACATCTTGGCTATTATAAATAATGCTGCAATAAATTTTACAACTATTAGAATGGCTAAAATAAAAAACATAAGAAATACCAAGTGTTGGCAAGGATGTGGAGAGAAAGGAACCTTGGGCACTGTTTGTGGGAAAGCAGGCTGGTGCAGCCACTATGGAAAACAGAATGAAGTTTTCTCAAAAATTAAAAAGTAGAGGGGTGCTCAGTGTGTTAAAGCCTCTGCATTCACCTCTGGTCATGATCTCAGGGTCCTGGGATTGAGCATCGCATTGGGCTCTCTGCTCAGTGGGGAGCCTGTCCCCCCCGCCCGCCTGCCTCTCTGCCTACTTGTGATCTCTCTCTGTCAAATAAATAAACAAATAAAACTTAAAAAAAATTAAAAAGTAGAGTTACCATATGGTCCAGTATTCCATTGATGGGTATTTGCCCCAAGAAAGAAAACAGTTAATTCTAAAAGATGTATGTACCCCGTGCCTTCTTAACTCTTAGTCTGGGTACCCTTATAGGCTCAGCAGCAGATACATGAAGATGAAAATAGACTTCCCAGTGAAGATGCCGCTAAGACTAAGTTGTTTACTCCTTCTGAGACTTCTAGAATCATGCACATACTTGTGCATAGCATAACTTAGGCCATGTTTCTATTGGTGATTCACCCCTCTACCCCTCTTATTGACCGATAAGGTCAAACCTTTCTGCATTTCCATGCCAGGCACTGTGCATGCCAAGCACAGCTACTGAATAAATGTTTACTGAATGCTTTGGAAAAGAAGTATACAATCAACCTGCAAGCAGTTACCAGTGTATTTGTATATGTGAAATCTGGTGAGCTACTTAACATCCTTGTGCTTTTATTATTGTTTTAATCAGTAAAATGAGGCTAAAATAAGATTTCCTAGAATATATATCTTAAAGAACTTAGTGGAGTCCTTGTACACTCAAGGGTTCAGAAATGCAGCTGATTTCCTTCTTCTCTCTTTTTTTTTTCCCCTTTCTTATTTGAAGAGGTGGGTGGGGAATGTAAATACCCACCTAAAAATTAAAGCTAATGCTGGTAATAAAAGTGTCTTGAGATTTCATGGATATCCCATTGGCTGAAGTGATTTATCATCATAACTCAAAAGATTAGAAAAAACAGAGTCAACAGCCAGAGATCAACTATATGAATAAATAAAGTCACATTTTTATTCAGTGAAACATTCCAAGCCCCTACACATGGTAAGCATAGAGGCTATGGATTCCCTGTCCTTAAGAGCTTTAGAGCTAAGGAGGAGCTCTACAGTCCCCCATATAACAAGAGTGCTCACATTCAAGGTGCTACTTGAAGACATAGGAGGAATGACCTTTCACTTGCAGACAGAAACATACAGGAGAAGGAAGGCCCAGAAATCCTTTAGAGTAAATGATCTCAAACTTCGGGGATACGAAA